GCCGTGCTACAGCGGTCCGCTTTCAGGCAGTCCTTGCGTATCATGCAGAACCATCTGTAAACCAGGCCCTAGTTTTCTCTTTCTCTGTCACCTGATCATGGAGTACTCCCCATGAGGTCACGGGTGTAGGCTGGGGGAGAAGGCAGTAGAGCCGGAGTGGTGACCGTGGGCCACTTCTTCATGTAACTCCAGGGCCTGTTCAGGCCTGATCATTTATATACCACTTCCATTTGACGATGGAATGTTGCTGTTTATGCCCAAATTTTATGGCTGGTGTGTTAGATAACACCAAGTTCATGATAAGCAGCTATGATCACATGGTAACTTGGTGGCCTATGGTCAAGCATTCAGTTTCTACCAAGGCCCAGTAATAGGCCAAGAACTGTCTCCTAAAAGGAAAATAGTTATCTGTGGGTGATGGCAGGGCCTTGCTCCAAAATCCTAAAGGTTATTTACTTACAGGGGGCTGCCAAAGGCTCCAAACAGCTATTTACCATTGACACCTCAAGAATCATTGGGTCTGCTGGATCCTATGACCCAAGTGGCAGAGAAGCTTGCACAGCAGTGTGGACCTGTTGCAGGGTCTCCCCTCGTTCTGGGCCCCACTCAAAACTAGCAACTTTGCAGGCCGCTTAGTAAATAGGCCAGAGTAACACACCCAAATGTTTTCTCTAAAATTGAAATAGGCTCACTAAGCCGTGTGCCTCTTTCTTGATTGTAGGAGAAACGAGGTGCAGCAACTTACCCTTCATTTTAGAAGAAATAGCTCGGCCGGGCATGGTGGCTCATGCGAGTAATCCCAGCACTCTGGGCAGACCAAGGCAGGAGGATCGCTTGAGCTCAGGTGTTCAAGACCAGCCTGAGCAAGAGTGAGACCCCGTCTCTACTAAAAATAGCAAAAGAATTAGCCAAGTGTGGTGGTGCACGCCTTTAGTCCCAGCTACTCGAAAGACTGAGGCAAGAGGGTCACTTGAACCCAGGAGTTTGAGCTTCCTGTGAGCTGACACCACAGCACTCTAGCCCAGATGACAGAGTGAGACTCTGTCTCAAAGAAAAAGAAGAGATATCTCAACATGGCCCAAACCATTGGACCCCTAGAAATTTCACTGAGGTAAAAAGCCTGTGAATTTTAATTGGATTTATTTCCCACTCTCTGACATGCAAATGTCTTACCAAGTCTGGAGCAGTTGCTACTTCTCACTCACTAGGTCCAAGGAGCATGATGTCATTGACGTAATGGACCAGAGTGGTATCTTCTGGAAGGGAAAGGCCATCAAGATCCCTGCAAACTAAATTGTGATCTAGGGCTGGGGAGGATGGCAAAGGTGTATTGCTGGCCTTGCCAGCTGAAAGCAAACTGCTTCTGGTGCGCTTTATGGACGGGGATGAAGAAAGGCATTTGCCAGATGAATCGCTGCAGACCACGCACCAGAAGATGTTAATTTGCTCAAGCAATGAAACCTCATCTGGTGGATCAGCTGCAGTTGGAGCCACCACTGATTAAGCTTCTGATAACCCACTGTCATTCTCCAGGATTCATCTGTCTTCTGCACGGGCCCATCGGGAGAGATGAATGGGGATTGTGGTGGAAGTCACCACCCCCGCATGTTTTAAATCCTCGATGGTGGCATTAATCTCTGAAATCCCTCTGGGAATCCAGTATTGCTTTTGATTTATTACCTTCCTACGTAGAGGCCACCATAGTGGCTTCCTCAGCCTTTCCTACCATAATAACCCTCACTCCACAGGTCAGGGAACCCATGTGGGATTCTGCCAGCCGCTAGGTGTATCTGTTCCAATTATGCTTTCTAAAACTGGGGAAATGAACCCAGGGTGGGTTCAGTTTCTACCAAGGCCCAGTAACAGGCCAAGAACTGTCTCCTAAAAGGAGACACCCACTGGACCCACTGTGAGTCATACCTGAGCTGAAACTCCATTGATTGTCTGACCTTCATCAGCCTCTACTCTGACTGGAGGGTCACAGTGATGTTTTGAGTCTCCTGAAATTAGTGGCAGTTCCGAGCCAATGCCCAGTAGTCCCTGAACGATGTGATTATTTCCCCTTCCCTGATGCACAGTTACGACCCAGGTAAAAAGCCATAGGTCCCCTTGGGGAAGGCTGGGGGAAGGATTACCAGTATAAATTTTCAGCAGTGTACTGGGGTCCTTTCCAGAGGGGACCTGGCTTCCTCTTCATTCAAGGGGCTCTGAGTCCATAAACTGGCTTAACTCTGGGGCCATGATTCTGTTTTTATGATTCCAGTTAGACTGTTTTTTCAGTTGACATGGAAGTTTTCTGCTTATAAGAATTTAGTAGGATTCCTATCTATTTCACTTCTAGGAACACCACGATTATCTAGCCAACGCTATAGATCTACATGATTCAAATTGTTGCTCTACCTCTGCTGTCCATGTGGTCGCTATGCCCACCTTGTCTTTGGCAGTTGAGTGCCATCACTTGGACCCTGCCACCCAGGAGTCAATTATTCTCCTTGCATTGACGTTTTCCCATTGAGTGACTGCAGTTCCCTCTGTAAGGGCTGCGTAGAGTAAGCATTATTGTTGAAGATCACTATACAAAGAAGCTACATCGGGAAGAAGTATTGGAGTTGGTTTTGATGAGAGAACTCTCATATTCACAAAAAGTCTGTTCCAAAAGTCTCAAAAGTCAAAGGAACGGTTGTTAGTATTCTAAGTTGCAGGGGAACAAGAAGCGACAATTTTACAAAAGACCTTACATGGACACATGCAGAAACTAAGTCAGGATTTTTAGAAAATTGAAAAGGGCGATTTTACCATACATTATAATTAAATTTCTCTGGCAATGTCTTCCATAAAAATAATAATCACTAACATTTATTAAATACATGTGTGGTAAACACTGTGTTAATGGGTTCACATGCTGAGTCCTTCATCCTCACCACAGCCCTGAGGTGGGTGCTATTTTACCTTCATTCACAGAAAAGAAACTTGAGAGGTTTAGAGATTTGAGCGACTGACTCAATTAGCTAGTGAGGGAAAGATATGGGACTTGCCCTCGTCTTTCTGACTCCACAGTCTTTGTTCTTAACCACGGTGACTGTTAGGAAACACTCAGCTCCGAGCAACAAAAAACCTGCAAAACAGTGGCCTAAAGAAGTTTACCTCCCTGCATAAGAAGTCCAGAGGCTAGGCCAGGCGCGGTGGCTCACGCCTGTAATCCTAGCACTCTGGGAGGCCGAGGCGGGCAGATTGTTTGAGCTCAGGAGTTCGAGACCAGCCTGAGCA